CATGAGGGTATTTGGGTCCTTGCCATGTTGTGTTTTGAGGTTTTCCAAGGATGGAAATAACTCCACCTTTTTGCTGATGTATAAAAAGGCTTAAATAATCAAAATGTGATTCTCCCTCCCCTAACTATCTTTTGAGCATTTCCCTAGCTATAACTTGCATCCAATGCCTCACGCTTTTGCTCTGCATCTCCAAGAAGAGTTGGCTCTATATTCTTGATAATCCTCTTTTGGCAGAGCAAGGCACCAATGTGACCAACCCCACCTCGACTCCCCCAGCCTTCTGGTTCTCATGCATCATCTGCTTGCACCTGTGAATATATTGCCAGCTTTATCTCATCAATCAATGTATGACTCTAAATATATGATCTATAGCATCTCACCTGTCAGGAGGCTTTTCTTGCTGACTGTTACTATACCTTATCACTTAGAAATATGTTTTACAATAATCTTCTTTCTGGTTAGACAGAAAATTCCACTAATCTTTTCTGTTTAGGCCAGCAAATCTACTCTAAAAAAGTACCAAAACACTTGCTCCTACACAATCTGCTGTTCCAAACCAAACAGACATGTTCAGTTTATTTAATTACAAGGTGAACAGGAGAAACTGAATACAAATCAGACAACAAGACCCTCCTCCACACAGCTTATCAAGTTGCTTTTCCAAGCCAATAAGCCAGTTATTTTTTCTCTTTAGCACCTTGTATACTCTGCTGGTTTTGGCTGAGCTAATTTTCTTCAGTGTCCAGTATAGGGCCCTGTTTTGTATTTCTGCTGAACTGTGTTTTGGATTTGTGCAGGGCTGATAATACAGAGATATTTTTGTTATTGCTGAGCAGGGCTTACACAGAGCCAAGGCCTTTGCTGCTTTTCATACTGCCATGCTGGTGAGGAAATTTTGGGTGCTTGGGGGGTTGGGAGGAGACACAGCCAGGACAGGTGACCCCAACTGACCAAAGGGATATTCCAGACCATATGCCACCATGCTCAGTGTATAAAGTGGGGAAAAGAAGTAGGAAGGAGGATAAGTTGGAGCGATGGAGTTTGTCTTCCCAAGTTACTGTTATATGTGAGGGGGCCCTGACCCCCCAGAGATGGCTGAACACCTGCCTGCCTATGGGAAGCAGAGAATTAATTCCTGGTTTTGTTTTGCTTCTGTGCATGGTTTTTGCTTTCCCTCTTTAACTGTCTTTATCTCAGCCTATGGGCTTTCTAGCTTTTACAGTTCTGATTCTCTCTCCCTGATTCCATTGGTGGAGGAATGAGTGAGTGGCTGCATGGTGCTTGGTTGCTGGCTGGGGTTAAACCAATGCAAATTTATATATTCTTCCTGAGAAGTACTCTCCCCATTAGAAAAGTGCATTCAGAAACAGGAAGAAAGGCATTAACAGAGCAAACAACAGCTATATTAACACACCAAAGTATTTCATCTATTATATAAAAAAACAATTTAAAAATATTTTTAAAAGCACAAGCCATTAAACCTGAATCTAAAAGGTCAAAATAAGCTCTTCTCCTCATACAAGGGAAAGGGGAAACAACTGTACAGGTAACATGACTAAGATTATTCTGAGCTGCCAAAATAAATTACTGTTTGTTTCAGTAATCGTTTGCATGTAACACCTTTTCTTAAAGAAACTTGAGCTTACTAACATTCAGTTAAGGGGCAGGGGCAGGTGCTGGCCACAACACAGGTCTTCCCACAAAGCCAGATGAAAACCTTAAATCCATGAACAGAGAAGAATGGAGTATACTCCTTTTCCATACTGAATGGTAGAAAACCATGCAGCTTCCCACAACAGGGTTCTTGGAGGTTAAGAGCATTAAACAACACTGTGTTTTTCAGTTTTCATTTCTTGTCATTAGTTTGTTTTCATTTCTCATTGCCTAATGAAGGGTGAACATCTGTATCACCCCTCATGTACCCAAAGATGCTTGAGAAAAAGGAAAGGAAAAATGAAACCAAGAAAGAATAAAGCCCAAAGATCTGTAAATAGTATTCGGTTACATTGGATTTAAGTTTTCATGGCAGACCTTGGTATTTCAGGTTCACCAAGTGTTTAAAAAATATATTATTGAAAAGTTTAAAATTACATTTTTAATTTACACCAAATACCTTAACATAAAGACACCAGTGAAATCATTATAGCAGTTTAAATTGTCACTTATTTACTTGAGGGCAAAGGGCAGGCTAGTTTATTTTAAGGAGTTTTTCTTTTAGCTTCCTCTAAGAGTTCACATATGAAGAATCCTACACATATTAAGTTGTCTTTTTTTTTTTTTTTTTAAGCTACCAATGCCAAGAACCAGACCTTGCACTGGGGATGGCCAGTGCAGCCTCTCAGGAGAAAACCTAATACCTGATAAAAGATCAAGCATATCAAAGTACATGATTCCAAAACAGCTAGTCTAATGCCCCAGTTAAAACCAAGTTTGATTTGAAGGTCACTGCATAAATCAAGGATGTCTTGGAATTTCCCAACCTGATATTGAAACAATGTCACATATTTCAGTATGACTACTTTATTTTTCCTGTACCTTTTCCCCTTAAGTGACACAGTAGCATACAGATCAGAGTGGTGTCAGGGAAGGCAAATCAGCAAGGATGACTTGTTCCTCTACATCTGTGAGTCTCTCCTTATTCCAAATTTGGAAACTGTAGTGGTACATTTATCAAGACAGACTGCAACAGTGGTAATCTTCAAGCACTATGCCAGGCTAGACAAAGCAAAAATTGCAGTAAAAAAGAATTCCATGGACAAGCCCATCAGTCTGCCTTTAAAAATAACCAGCTGTGGGTTAAACCTGCTCAATGCGTGTGGGCAAAAGCCCAGGGGAAACATCCACATTTAATACTAAGGATATGCAAGGTAAACTTTTTTCTTACAAAATAGATTTAGCTGATAGGTTAGGATTCCATCCATCAATGTTCAGTGTCCATGGAAAGATTTTACTACACAAACATACTTAATTTCACTTTGCATATTTCAACAAAGGAAATGAAGTAAGTAGTAACTACTGTAAGATTGCAAAAGGAAAAAAACTGGAATGTGGACTAACAAACTTCAGTGTAGAGAAAAAGTGGGATTTTTAATGGCTACTATTTTACCTCAATTGTTAAAAAGGAAATTATTAATGACTGTTTTACTTCACAAAAATCTAACAGTGAATACAACACAGGATCATTTATTCCATTCTTCTTCCAAACCACACAAATTGAATTTAATTACTGAGATTTATGCAGATTTTCATTTACTTGCAGAGTATCAAATATTATAAACATACCCAAAAAACCTGATACTGTATTAGGGATAAGATGTAAGAAAAAAAGCAATGATTTATATGTGGTAGTAACAGTAAAAATCTCCACAGTGAGCGATATTTCTAAGATTCAACAGAGTCACTAGGGCTCAGAAAATAAATGAATGTGCTATTTTCAAATTTAGAACATCCTTCTGTTCATTGTCTGAGAAAAGGCATGAAGGCAGGAATTTCCACTCCGTTCTCAATATATATAAGATAACTGAAACAGGAAGGAAAGAAAAACCTACAGGGGAAGAAAAGAAAAAGGAAAATAAAAGAAGTCCTACAATGTGCTAGCTGGCAGGACACAATTTGCCAGTCACAAAACACAGCATGGGAACATAATTTTCTGTCTACAGCTTCTACCCTCATCATCTCTTCTTATGTCTGCCTCTCAGTATTTTTACTCAGAAAATACTTCTATAAGTATATCATCTGCAAACTTTAAAACACAGCAAAGACATGGCTTCCTACCTATGACTTTTCACAACATCTAAAGGCCTAATTTTTATGTATTATCATGGTTACTACTGCCATTCGTAATAATAAATTGTATTAAGGTTCAGCTGTCTTCCAGTCAGAAATATAGAAAACTGAAGTGACAAATTCAAAACACTTAATATACTCAAAAGAGTAACAAAATCCAAATATGCATACAACATGTCAATTTTCTCTTTTTTTAAATTGAAAACTCTCTGTTATAATGTCACAATAATATTATTATAGAATCTAAAGAAAATAGTTTCAATCAGAATTTAAAGCGATATGTAGTACCTGCACACTGTCACAGAGGCAGGTGAGTCCCATCAGCTTCCGTTAAGAAATTGCTTCTCAAAATACACTTTGGCTTAAAGTCACTAGGCATCACTAAATACCATTATTCTTTTGCAGTGCTACAAAGGAACACGCATTTCAATACACAGCATTCTCCCCAGCTCCAAGTTTTAAATTAACTGTTTTCTTTTTGAGACTGAACAATGAATGATTTTGTACATTTGTGATAATCTGATATTCATTAAGAAATGAGTGTAGCCATACATATAATGTAATATATGAACAAACAAATAATCAGAGTGCACAAAAACAGGTGCTTCAACTTCTGGCAGCAAACCTAGCAGTTGTTAAGGCACTGCAGAGGAGAACAAAGTAGGTCCTCAAGGAATACAGCCAAAAAGCAGACACTGCCTTTAGACAAGCCATTGACAGTTCCTCTGAAGAAGAAAAAGATGGATGGCCACCAGCATTATGAAGTTCTTGAGTATACTCAAATGCAATACCTCTTTCAACTGACAAGGCTGAGCTGATGATGTGGAACATGAGTGAACTCTTAGAAGAGTTCACTAAGTCTTTCTCCCCACAAAAAGAGTTTCTGACAGTTAGGAAAGGGTTGCAAAAGCTACTAGGAAACAGAATATTACCGATTTGAACAGACATGTCTTAGTAGTTCTTCTAATTTTACTAACAGCTCAACTACTATGTATTGTTTAATGATGAAGGGTTGGTATGCTTTTGACTTGCATTTTGCATCATGGCATTTGCAGTACAGAAATTGGTCAAAATAAAGCTTATGCAAACAAAACTGAACTCATTGTAGCCTTACAACTGATTGCGACTGTTTCACACTACAGCTCTTTGGGATTTTTGTTTGGTGCTTTTAAAAAAATCAAAATAAGCAATGGATTCTTTGCCAAAGTCCTTACCTCCTCTGTGGACTACGGTTCTGAGAGAACTCTGAATCACTGTCCTTTGACGTTGGAGAGCCCTTATATGTGTAAAAAACATCCTCTGTTTCAGTAATATAACTAATCTCATTCGTAAGGTTATCTACAGATGAGTGTCGTGGTTTGCGGATTTCATGGCGTAGTCTAGGACTCCGCCTTAAAAACACAGAATACAAACACAAAGGGGAAGATTAGAATATTTCATGAAACTTTATAAAAGAAAAACTTATATCCTATTGCAGTTATGATCTGAATCTTCATATAAGTCTCACTTCAAAATAATCAATTTTTAACCATTCCGTATGGTGTAGGAGGCAATCATACACTGCTAGGTTCAGTACACTGAACTGATTGGTGTTTCTCCCCCTGTAAAATGCAACTTATCATGTTTTAATCATAGGGTGATTCAGGTTGGAAAGGACTAATGGAGGTCACCTAGTCCAATCTTCTGCTCAAAGCAGGGTCAACTAAGGCCAGAGTAGGCTGCTTAAGACTTTATTCACTCATATCTCAAAAAATCTGAAGGATGGAGACCACAAAGCTTCCCCAGGCAATGACTGTCCATGTGGTGAAGCAGTTTTTCCATTGTATCATGACAAAACCTCTTTTGTTTCAACATATACTTGTTGCCCCATTCTCCCACTCTGCAATAGTGAAAAACCTGGCCTAATCCTGTAGCTGGCCTCCTCCTAAGTAGTGTTATTAGGCATCTGGGCAACCCCTGCTTCTCCAGGTTGAACATGTGTCACTACATCAGCCTCTCCTCACAGGGTAGGTGCTCCAGCCTCCTGACTACCTTGGGGTTGGTGGTCTTTGCTGAACTTGCTCCAGTTTGTGTCTGGTTTACATTTGCAGACAAAAAGGGCTGCAGCATTCTAATGAAATCTAGAGAATGCTGGGCCAAAAGGGCATCACTTCCACTGACCTACTACCTACAACCCTGTCAATTTTGCCAAGTTGGACTTGTTTGCAGTCAGGGCATACCAGATGGCTCATGTACCACTTCTGCCTATAAAGATTACCAGGCTGTTTTCCAGAAAGCTGCACTGTAGACAATACTGTTACACTGGGTTCTTATTTCCCAGGACACTATGTTTGTCTCTGTTGAATTTCATACATTTCCTATTGGCCCATTTCTCCAGATTATAGAGATGACTTTGAAGAGCAGCCCTGGCCCCAGGCTTATTGACTCACCTCCCAGTTTGGTGCCATCTGCAAACTTTATGATCAACCATACCATTGCCTCCTCTAGATCATAAAGAGGTTAAGCAGGAGAGGTCTCAAGAGCAACCCCTGCAGCCATCTACCTTTTTTTGTTGTCCAGGTAGAGTGTGACACATTAACAACTCCCCTCTTAGTCCAGTCATCCAACCATTTGAACATTTTTTTTTTTTAAACCATCCTCTTGTCCACCCATCCGGAAACATAATGACTTAACTTGGGTAAAAGATTTTGGCAGACAGCATGAAAGCCTTGTTAAAGTTGAGGTGACACCCACCCTTCTGTTGTCATATATATTCTCAGAATAAAAATGTTTAAATATATCTGTACACACTACATAATTATTCTGCTAGAGTACATACAATTAGAAATGGTAGGAGGCTAGAAGGTGTGGAAAAGGCTGAAAATGGATTTACCAATTGGGGGTAACAGGAGGTGATCGAGAAGGAAGGCTTTTGGTCTCTAGGTGCTCAACTGATAAGGATCGTCTCATAGATGGGTTCCAAACCATCCCACCTATCACTTTTCTGCAGTACTGGTTGTTTATGGACCTGGAAAAATATAAAACAGCTATATGTGAGTTATTTTGCATAGAAAACTTAAGATATGCTTATGAAAGTCAATTTCATAATTTAAAGCATCCCCCTGTGCTTATCCCTCCTTACTTATGCATTTACATTCTCACAGAGACATTTGCTGTCCCTCATCTGTGACAATAAAAGTGATTGTTAATCCCTGCTCCATTGCTTATCACAAGCCTGGATAAAAATAACTTTTTCTGAGAATTATTTTTAACCCAATTGTGTTTAAGAAGACAGAGGGGAAAACAGGAAATTCAGTATGTCCTGCTGGTACTGAACTGAGTGCCTGACAAAAGACAGTTCAAATACAGGTAATGTGTTCTGAAGCTTCCCTGTTAATATTCACAATTCAGCAAGAGCTTCACTGAGCACAGGACAACTTTACCCATCTACCTGCTGGCTCATTCAGAGCTAAACCAGACGAGACTCTATTGTGAAAGGAAGCCACCTTGGAGTGATGTATTCTTTATAGAGATAAACCATTAAAAAAATCTGACATGAAAATAAGATCTCCAGGTCTGGACTGCTTCTTTTGACAAGAAGAAGAAAGATTTGAGAAGAAAAGGGCTGCAACAGTATAAGTACCACAGCTAGGAAAGCAGTAAAAGTATCTTAATAGTGAAAATACACAGCATAAAGAAAACCTTGAAGTAGACTGAAATTGAGATAAACTAACTCTTATGCATCATTTTATACAGCATTCCACGAGTCAAGCTGAGAGATAAGCTGCTCACCTTTAAGTTTACAGGCCTAGGATTTCTCATAGAAGAAACAATTTATTAGTTACAGAGAAAACACCTTTGGCCCATTAAGCCCTGAACTGTACATAATGGGCAGCTGGGCTAGCACGCTATGTAAGCATCTTACTACAGAGCTGAAAAGCTTCAATTTTACATAGCATTAAAAAAGAATAAAAAATAAATAAAATTAAAATGTTGCTAAAGCTGTGGTTATTATGCTAAAATCAAACCTTAAGCATGCTTTGCATTGTACTACTTTCTGCTAATATAAGTAAAAGAAAAAGAAACCCATTATTTTTTTTCATATATACGGAAGTATTTTGCATATCTTGTTCATGATTTTAAAGGAAATCAATTCCCTCATTTTCTAAATGTACTTTAGAAGCTTCTCTATGTATAGAAAACAGAGGAAAAACTTAGTATGAAGCATCTACATACTACAATCAGCTACCCATGTATGTTTCCATACCTAGTAAACAAAGTCCATCAGCTCAGGAGAAGCTTTTGGCTATACTACCCATTTTATTTTTCTAACACTTTTGAATACAATGACAAGGTACCAGCTACTCATCTTCTTCAGAAACAGATGTCTTTTAAAGAACCCTTAGATAGTTGGAGCAGAGGGAAAGACTGGAAAAAGATGAATGCATTATGAAAAATGCATTGCAAAGAACTCCATATTAATAAGCTTTTCATTTTTACAAGTGGCTGTTGAGGCATTTTCCAACACAGACAACTTGAAGTGCAGCATAACTCATGTGATGGAAGCCAGAACCCTAAGCCCTAATTCTAATATTAAACCCCTAATCCTGACCACAAAATCACTCATAGGGTAAGTCTCTAGATATTTCAGTTAAGGCACAGAAGATAAATAATCTCTTGAATTCAAGTAGATGCCCTTCAAATGCCAAATATCAGCATATTTCTCAGCAAACATTCTGGGAGGCTGCCAAAGCCTTTCTGGAATGGACTGTACTATCTGTAAATGATGCTTCCTTTCTCCTATCTATTACTGAAGCTATCCTTAGTGAAAAATACAGATACATTTTTTAGCTGTTCAACAAGGAATGAGAATGCGTCTAGGAGAGGTTATTCAGCGTTCAGGCCAGAATTTACCTCTCAGAATCTGGGAGATGTGATTCAGTCTGCTCCTTGAATAAGGCTTACAAGTGATTTATACAACTCAGCAGCTTAATTTAAATGGAATGCCTCTAGTGCCTTAAGCTAAGAGAATCAAGAAGCACACAGGTACGTGCAAATAAGAAATTGTACTCAAGTACTGCAACTATTTGAACTGATGCAATAACTGCCAGGCTATCTGCCTCAAATAAGTGTAGAACAAGAAAGCCACAAATTGCATAGGAAAACCTGTGATACTTAAGATGGTAAAACCTGAAAGTAGCAGCCTTCAAAGCTGATGGAAGCTGCATGAAAAGAATTCTTGAATACAAGTCAGTCTTAAAACCTCCAGGACTGCACGCTGTGGTCAGTGGAGCTTTTGTGTGCACATTTGGTTTTGTGGTTTGGTTTGTCTGTGTTTGATTTATACAATGCAAAAATTTTTTCCCTTTCAAAAGGGAGAATGCAGAATCACTTTTTTGGTTGTGTAACTTCCACATGAGTTCAGAGCATCCTTGAAAAGGAACATGGAAAATCTTACAGCATTCCACAACCATAAACAAGTCGGAAAGTAAAAATTTTCAATATGTAAAATATGACCTCAGAAGTGACTTTTTCACAATGTTTTTTAAATCTTTTGAGAAAATAATTTGCTGAGTTCATAGGAACTACTCAAAGTTTTTCAAAATTACTGTTGCTTCTTATGTAGTTAAGGAGTCTTTCATAGCAATGGTTGCTGAATTACCTCTTCCTCATGTAGATCCCAAAATTCATGCTTACTGCTGGTATAAATAAGGCCAAAGACGTTATCCTAAGCTGATGGAAAGTATCTCCATAACTGATTCTCCTCCTGGAGATTCCTTAGAACTCTAAGTAAGCAATTCAGCAGAAAATGCCTCAGAGCACTGAAATTACTTAAATGGAATTATTTCTTAGTAATTCAGATCAACAATGAGAACTGTCCTGTATGCTACAGAGTATTAAGAAATTGTAAGAGCAGATTTGTCAAAATTAAAATGTTTGGTAAAAAAATGAAATTATACTAAACTGGTACCCTTTGGAACTCATACTGTTTTCTTTCTTAACATTACAAAGGCTGTGGAATCACTGTGTGTATATATCTGTCCTATAGGAAGATCAGGATTTTCAATCTCTTTGCGAATTTGAAAGAAATAAAGGACTCCAGGACTTGACAATCCAACAAACTTTGAGTCACCTCAACACCTCCACTACAGGAACAACAAGGTCATAACACTCCATAAATGAGTTAATTCTAAAAATAGGTATTTTTGAAATGTTAGAAAATTAGAATACTGTTTGTACAACTAGGTTTTTTTCCCATAACCTAAAAACCAGATCATCTAGCTATGACCTAGTACTAGGTGAAAACATGGAATTATACTCCAGTAAAAAGCATAACATTTTATCAGAATTCCTACATTGCCCTCAGGGGTTAATTGCTTCATTTACAAGCAATACCAGTGCACTTGGTATTGATTTCTGCAGTATCAAGAGACATCAGAGTGTGAAGAGCCAGAGAGCCACCAAAGTCTGAGGAGGCATTTGAAGCATGTTGATATCATTCAGAAGTTGAAGCTTATCCAAATAGAAGACAGAAAATCTCCAAGTCTGACAAATTATATGTAAAGTTAAACTGTTACGAGAACACACTACAAAAAACTCACAAAAACACACTACCCATGAACAAAAACAAAACAATAAAATACTTCTCCAAAAATCTTGAGAAGAAGAAGGTTTCTAGAGAGTCTACAGATCATCAAAGGGTCAAAGAACCCCCCAGAATCTCACATCCAGGGAGGATAATGACACAAGACTTTCTTTTTCATTCACTATTAATATGAAATATTTTTTTATATGTTTCATTACAGAATGTTTTTGGGGGGTGGGGTAGGTGGATTGGGATGGGTTGGATGAGACAATGAAGCCACAGGACATGACATCTTTGTAGCTGAATTGCTGATAAATGTAACAACAGAAAAAAATGAACATAACGGAAGAAATCACTGTGACTGATACTTATCAAAAAAATGTAAAAGCCCCTAAAATAAAAGAGCAGAGTAAAAAAAATCACACAGGATAGCCAAATAAGGGCTAACTGCAAAGAAATGGAGAGGGACATTACAATGTCATGTGACTGGACAATAAACCTGCAGCTTAACTTTAATGACAATAGGGCTCAGTAACTGCATATGGGGAGGAATAATCCCAGCTTCATATAGGAAAATCACAGGCTCTAAAAAATACTTCCTGGTAACTAAATCTTAAACAACACTAGGAAACTAGTGTTTTTAGTACTTGTAACTAGAAGAATCCAATGAGACAAATAAAGGATTAGAAGTGTCACAACAGGGCTATCTTGAATACCTGAATGGGAAAAAGTTTTTCATCTTTGTGTCAGTAATAAGTGGTTGGTGTGATGCACTCCAGAAACTGCCCTAACATATTAAACAGAATGTGTATATGACACTAATGGCTAAACATTTCAAAACAAATCTGTTCTGAAATTCTCTTACGAGATCATTAGCTACATGACATTTTTCCTTTCCAGTGTTTTTATACTTCAGACTGAAGCAACAAGTTGAAAAAATAGTAGTAAAACATATATCCAAACACCTTTTGAGGCAATTATAAGAAAAGTTCTACTGTAAGGAGATCACATTGCAGAAAGTGAAACCACAGACATACAACTTGTCAAATGGTTCATATATAGACTGGAACAGAGCTATGGACAGGACTCGACTCTGCCACTCCAACTTGAGCTACTACTGACACAAATCCTCCCATTCCCATCATAGAGCAAAACATGCTTTCACACAATACTTACTTTGCTGGATTTCTAGAACCCAGAGTCCAATAATGTGATAATATCTTTTTTTCATGAGGTAGTGACTTCTTTGCCTGAAAAAATGTGTGATGCTCTACACAAGATTTCCAAAGATTTTTGCATGCTCTGTAATTTAACATGTTGAAGGCAACAATATGCTCTCTGGATTCATTCTGTAACAGTAGGGAACACCATGTTTCAACATATACAAGTAGATGAAACAGTAAACAAGATCATAAAAAAACAAGAATTATTTTAAGCTTAAACATGAAAAATACATTGTGGCAAACAAACAAACAAACAAAAAACCAGCATACAGTAGATTTTGAGCTGCAGATGGCCAAAATACCTCTATGACTATTTGAAATTAAAAACTGCAAAATGTGCACTTTACAAGTTCATGAACTGTTAATAAAATATTTAAGTCTAGAGCAGTAAAGATTTTGTATATATGAGTATCATGTTATACTGATAAATATATTTTCAGGTTTCCAGTCAGATTTTGACCTCTTAAGACAAACAAAATTCTTTAAAACATTCAATTAAGGGTGCAATGTCAAAAGGAAAAAAACCCTCATTCTTTGAATTCAAACTCTTCATGTAAGGCTTCAATTCAATAATGTTCTTTCAAGTGCCATAATATGCAAAATGCATATTCTTTTCGTTCTTTCAGAAAAAACTGAAGATGTTAACAGAGATCTTTCTTTGGGGAAAGAAAATACTTCTGATGGGACTGGAGCTGCTGCTACTGCTGTTGAAATCCACTCCTGCTTGGATGATAATGTGAGGCCACAATGAGGAGGTTCAGAAGGCAGCAGAATATAAAACTTGCGTGTCTTGATGCAAACTCTCACGAGTAACTTCAGTGCCAAAGTGCCAGTGAAACATGAGTGCAACACAATTGTGCCATCAATGTTTATCCCAAGAGTTTTGTACAAGAGAAAGCTTTGGTTAGCTAATCTAGTTATTGATGCAAAGAAAGTGGAACGAGAGCAACGCAAAAAGTAGAAATAAAGGTAACATGAGACCTGAGACAATTGCCAGCATAGCTCAGCACACCAGTGAAAAAACAAGTTTTCATCACTCATCTTTTCTAGCTCCTCTAAATTATGACTAATTTTGTAATCTCAACATATAATTAGACAGGCAACCTTTTGCTTGTTCACAGCAACAATCCTGTTGGGAAATAACTACAAACCATTTTGGCTGGTATAGTCAATCTGTTTTTCTTGTGTTTTTTTTATTTCTAGGCAGCCTTTTACAATTGACACGTATCTGAGACCAAGCCGGCTTTTTGCAAATCAATTCATGTCTAGTCCAGAGAATCTGCAGCTTTTAAGAAAAACAGTGACACTCTCAAGAGAAAAAAGATTTCCTCTTGATTTTACATAAGTACTGAAAAACATTTAACTGATTACAGTCTTTAAGGAACGTTTTCCCTATATCTATTAAAGCATTTAAAACATATTTTCTTTTCAAGATGTGGGTTTGTTATTTGAGTCTCTTGCATATTGGAAACAATTTGTCAGTTCACCACAATTGCTTCTAAGTAGTTACACAAAACAAAGCAGGAAAGCATAGCAAATCTTAACTCAGAATTTCTTGAAATATATGAAGCACACATCACAAAGGTTTAATGACAAATACTATTTCTGACATACTCCCTGTTGGCTGAATCCCACTTGAAGGGTTTTACTACTCCAGCAGACAAATAAAAGTAAGTGTATAGATATTTTTGTTGGCCTGAAGTACTGGCCTTTCAATTGCCACAAAAATTATTTTATTCAAATATCTCAATTATACTGAAAGACTATAGTATAAAGATAAGGAACTAAGTATATCTAATATTCTCTTTTTAAATTTAGGTTTGATAGCAGCAATTAATTTTGCTTTTTACATGTGTGCTTTTCTGTTGTCACAGAACCTTCTTAGCAGCCTTTAAGTTTCTAAGGCTGAAAGTTTCAACATGGATTTAAGCTAGGAAAAATATTTTGAGAAGTTTCATAAAAATTTATTCAATTTTTAGACTAACATAATCTTTTGTTAATTACAATCTGCCTCACTAACAGGTCACCTTGCAAGTTATGCTGTTAAATCTGTGTATGTTTTTAAAGGTGAGGAGAGTTCTAGTGGGATTCCAGGATATAATGCCCATTATTCTTCTCAAGTCAAGTTCTAAAAAAATGGCATTTTCATGATTATCAAGAAATGAGGGTTAGAGAAATTTGAGGTAAAGGGAACAATTCTTCGTAACTAAAGTCTTTTGCTAGTTCAGCATATGGAAGAATTTCTGCATCAGTTGTATGCCTACTCACTCCATTAACAGAAAATCTGAAAATATCTAGAGCATAAAAAGCGAAGATATATTTTAGTATGCAACAAATGAAGTTGTTTTTAAGCATTAGGTAAGCACATTGAAAATAAAATTTCATTTCTGAAAGGTACAAAATGTTGCCTTTAAACAGCATAGTTCCTATTCCTACCTTAAATCCTCCACCCCTCATTAAGCCTACATGTCATGAGCTTCTCTAGCATCAGACATTCACTGATTCATCAGTCTTGCTCCCCAGTCCTTATTTGGCTCTTCAGTAGAAAAAGAAATACTGCATACTCCTAATCAAGTAGCTGATCAACAGACCGGAGCAGGGGGAGGGTAAAAGAGAAGGTGAGTAGAGGGGAAAGAGTGAGATAAGGTAAGTTGTTTTTTTCAGAAAAGGTGCATAAGGAAAGAAAAATGGAGTAAATGAAATAAGGAGAACAAATCAATGAAACATGGGACATATCCCAGGGGACTGCAAATCCATTGCCTTTGAGAACTTTCTGTAGATTTTTGAATCTACATACGACATATAAAATATAAAAGAGGTTCTATAGCACTCTCGTCCTCTTTAGTCAAACCTTGCCTAAGAATATACAGTATCTGCTCTGTTTTCCCCACACTCTTTCGTCTCTTTTACTTTCAGATTCATTTACCTATTTGCTTCTGTCTTTCCAAGCAAAAAAGTGATCATTTTGAAGACTGACACCAATGCAGTCATCTGTCCTCGCACACCCCTCAAGCATCCCACTATTCTGGTGAAACCCCTAGGACTCCACTCTCCTCTCTCCCTCTGCATGGCACCAGCAAGCTTTTCCAAGCAATACCACCAGAGCACTGCACACTTGATGCCCTAAATTTCAAACAAAGCAGGCTGACAAGGATGGATGTATCCACAGATTCAGTGGCACACCTGGTCTGCTTTTTCACATGAACTGAGGAGGAGTAAAAAGGTCATGCAGCTGGCCTTACTTTTCTTACAGTTCTGTAGCTCTTTAAGCATGACACTGCATGCATTACTGTCATCTCTGGAGGTTATGAAACAAAGAACTATGATCACTTAAGAGAAGGTAAGCTAAAAGAATTAAGAGCCTTGAACTGTCATCATTTATCAGATGTTTGATTGAACAAATTAAGATTGCTGCTCTCTTCAAAAGTGACACAGGTCTCCAGAGACAAAAATTCTACTTTTGACAGCAGCCAAGTCTTTATGTAATGAACACACATATTTTACATTAAGTCCACAGATAGTTCTATATTGACACTTTATTTTTCCATATTACAAAATCATTGTGAATACACTCATTTTCAGAGAATCAGAATGGTTTGGGTTGAAAGACACTAAAAATCATTGAGTTCCAAGCCCTGGAAACTGCTGTCTGAAAGCCTGCACTTATCTGTATATTTGAAAATATTTAGATTTTAAAATTACTATTTATCAGTGAATTTTTAATCCTCAAACTCAGGAGAGAAGTTACTACTTGCAAGTGTTTACACTCAAAATTGAGTAGAATGGTCTATCAACCACTCATTTCTTCATGCAGCAAAATATAAATGAACAGACTGACATGCATGCTATGCGTGTGTGCAAGCATAAGTGCAGTAACACTAAGTCTGGAAACTAACTCTTTATACATGAATCCTGAAATGTAACATATACATACTTGCACACTCCTCAAATTTCAAAGAGCCCACCAAAATGGGAAAAAAGAAGGATACACAGAAAAGAAAAAAGAAGAAAACATTTTCCTTTTGGGTAAAAAAAAGGCCTCCTTAGAAATCTGTGTTCAGCAGACCTTCTAATCTATGTGGATCAAGAGGTGGTCTTGTAACACAGTTCCTATAAATTTAAGAGCTTGTGTACTACCAGAAAGAACCTCCATGAACTTTAGGTACAAGTTAACATTTACCTTTTACTAAGTTTTGTCCTCAATTGAACTAAAATATTTATACATCTGCTGATCACTAGTTTCTGAGAAGTTGTTTTTTTCTGTCATATTAAATAATCTATGCTCTTGGTAAAAAATATTTTTTTCATATTGTGGCAGCACAATAATAATCAGTAATCAAGATTTCCTTCCCCATTAAATAGACTAATATTTCAATTGTTCTTCAAAGAGCACAAAGCAACCAACAGAAGCCATCTCTTAACAGTTGAAAAATTTTATGTGTGCTTTATCAACTCTCTTCATATAATTTGCCAACTCCTAAAGCCCTCCATGTTACACACAGCAGCAGGTGGGCTATTTCCCTTTTCAACCTCATGTTTTCCATCTGCAAAGCTCTCCTTTCCTCCAGGAACCCTGCTCTCTTCCTGAGCTCTGAGCCTCATAAGCTGAAGGGACCTGACAATCTCCCCCTAGATGGGACAAGCAGTTTAGTAGATTCACTGCATTAGGGAACTCCACAGGGCAGGGAGAGCAACAAGGGAAAGAGCAGAAGATGCTGGTGAGAAAGGGGAAATATGCTGTTAGTAGATATTGGAGAAAGGACGGAGATCTGCATTTACCCAAAGTCCCCAAGGGAAAAGAAGCCTCTATGGGAAAGATACACTCCAACAGACTGAAAGTGGAGGGATTCAGTGTTGGAAAAGAAACAATAAAAGGGAAAAAAGAGAGGGAATAAGCAGAAAAGAATAGCAAGACCAAGTTAACGAAAGAGTTTCAAAGGCACACTATCCCAACAGAGCCTTTTGATCAGCAGTTTGTAGGTTACATTCAATATAAAATATTGAATATTGACACTAGAGCAAAACAATATTAGAGGACTACTTACATGTTTTTGCCGTTGTTGTATAAAAAACTTTTTCCTTTTAAAGGAAATTTTTAAAATGTTCACCCTAAAAGACAGAAACAGGCCATGAAATACCGAGCAATGTTTAGAGTGATAAAACAATGAAAAATAATATTGTGTACAGTAAGCCTGAAAGATTAGAGCTGTAAAATATTCAATGAATAATATGCAGCCATCTCTTGTGTTGAGTGGCAAATAAATGTCCTCGTTTAATCTTTAAATAGTTCACAGCAGTTCTCTCCCACCAAATCTATTCTTGCAGCAAAAAACTCGATGACATCTTCTACACTAAGCTGCACAAATGTTAAATGTGTCAACTTTTGTATAACTTTAGAGTCATATGACAACTGTGACTAAAGGAACAAAATTGAAGACCCTAATGACATGACAAGGTTGGTCTTACAACAACTGAAACTTTGCAGAGGCATTGCAGAATTTGTTTCATAACGTGAAAGATATCATGTATTTGTCTTAATCACTAAACAAAATCTCTAGATAAAATCATCATTTTAGAAGGATGAAAACTGTAGGAAAAAGTGTTAATATACTTTTCACTTCATTAACATTGCTATGTAATTTATGTGGTAATTTTAGAACTGAACACATCTTTTTAAATATACACAGCGTGAATACATATTTTCTAAGGTAAAGATTACAACTGAAATTGGTGCTCAAGCAATTTTCATTTTAATTATACACTTATCAGTTTTTCTAAATTAAACAAACTTCCACCCACCTGCACACCTTCCCACAGCAAAACAAGATTTGTCTAAAATACCTAAATTTTCTCTGCAATAGTTCTACTTCAGTAACTGAAAACCTGCATTTTTGGACAAAGAAATCTCTGATCTATAGTCAGTTGGAATCTTACAGAGGCCTTTAGGAAACCTATTTAAGGTTTGATCAAGTCATATTTGCCTGAAAAAAAATCATGAAAGGGTTTTGTAAGTTTACTGCTAAAAGTCTCATAATATTTTCGAGAACAGATGTTTCACAGGATGTTAGATATCAGGTATGAACTTTGCTGAAAGTCCTCTCAGTTTGGCACAGTTTTTGCATTACTCTCATTAAGTGCGATGGCATAAAAACTCATTCCCAACTGCTCATGGGAGAGGCACTTGAGTTATAGAGCAACATCCCTCATGGATACAGGAGACTATATTTGCCAGTTACTAACAAGAATATTAATGGAATTACATATCCCTCTTTCTGCACAAAAGGTGGAAAACAATGCCATTTTCAGAAAATGCTTTTCTCCATCAATTACAGAACCACAAAGAAACAGGTATTTCAACACTATTCTTCAACAAGACAAACTGATGTGGAAATTAATGGAAAATTGAAATCATATCCACCTCTCCTGTTAGGTCAACTATTAAAATACTTGTGTCATTTGACTTGCTACCTCAAAGATCAGTGATCTGCATTGCTCATCTAAAAGCTCTTGATTCTCAATATCTGACAAGTCAGAAATTTTCAGTTGTATTTCCTGAGCTGCAAGTACCAAAACTCCCCCAATCGCTCTCCACTACCTCCCGCTTTTTCTTGAAAAACCTCAAAACAAGCAAACAAAAAACTACCAAAACTCCATCAAAACCAAAACAGCCCCCATGATTCAGTGCATGACCACATAATCACTTCAAGCCAAATCAGAGCATTAAGTCTCTTTATTTTGACATTCTCCTAAATAGAATACCCCTCTCAATTCCATTCATTCTTCTCAAAGTACAACTAAACCTACTTAGTTCAGGCATGAAGAACACTTGCTACTCTGACATTTTCATTTAACAATAACTAAAAATCATTTGCAATGTTATGCCCACAAACTGACTGAATGTTCACACCTAGAAAATAAAAATCTAGGAGATTAAGGTGTCAAAGCACTTAGACTTAACAAGTTCTTGAAGATGCCATATCCAAAAATTATATTAGTAGAATGCAGTTACTAGTCTTATAACTGGTAGTTCAGTGGCCCTTTTCTCTCACCAGTAATCTGTTCAGTGACAGATATGCATACTCACAAATTGTGAGTGTTGCAGATATGCAACACTCACAAATCATTAAATTTCATGGTTTATTTAAAAAGCACTCACTAGTTGTAGCATATTAAGAATGATAGATCTTTTGGGTCCCATCTTCCTATCATTCACAAGCATCAAAATAGATTTGTCACTCCGTGGGCCACAGAATCGCTAATTTTTGATTAAACTGGCAGTCCTGTCCTAGAACTTAGTACTAACAGCTGGTACTTGTGACTTGAAGCAAAGAGAAAGTTTCTTTACCTGTAAACCCTATACTTTGCCACTGAAAAAAGATTCTGTCCAATTTGCTATGAAAGATACTTGTTTTCCAAGTTTTAACTAGCAATGTATTATGCATTCCCCAACCAGTTTCTCTGAAATTTTCAAAGCAGTGAAAGGGCATACACAAAATAGCATTTACTACCTAACTTCAGTTGCTGCTGTATTTGTATGTTTTTGCCATTAATATTTACTTGTAAAATTTGGAAATTACCACATAACTGTTAAGCATCCTTTAGAATAACTCTGCAGAGTGCACAAAATACTGCATTAAATACAAAGCTATTTTTTAAACCTATCTTGACTTGCATTGTCGCTGACTGATCAGTCAGCTCTTTACGTAGGTTGCTTTGATTGAAAAGCATCTTTTTGCCAAGGCAGAGCTCTCTCACTGCCTCTGTTCCTGAAAACTTTAGGGCCCCTTTGACTACTACCATATGGCATAGTTGTATTGTTGTCATCCACTGCAGAGTATTTTACTTAAAATTTTGGAAAGAGTGCTTCAATGGTGTTTGCTGCCACCTTGAGTTCTAACTTGTTAATGGTGAAGTTTGCACAGTCCATAGGAAAAACCACTTGATACAAATGGTGTTACATAAAGAGCCTAAATAAATACTACTTCAGGCATTACAGAAATACATCCTGCTTTGAGATCTAAAATAAAAGTGAGAATTCAAACTACAAATACATCCCAAGCAACCACTCTGGTGGTTTTCAGTGTTTGCTTGTTTTGGTAGGATCAGGGAATGGACACCATTCCTGCACAAAGAATTATGATTAACTCAAACAAGATGCCAGAAATAAAATATCAAAAAGTTAGCCCCTGTGTAGGGAGCTTTTGCTTTCAAGATGAAATGAAATTTTTAGAGAGAGAGAGAGAGAAGCAGAGAGAAAGTGAGTGAGTAGGAAAGCTTGGAACAACTGCATGAGCTGTCAGCTTAAAATATTACTGCCTAAACCTCATATTTTAGAGTGGGAATTATTTCAACTGAAAAACCTGTGGGTTTTACTTCCCTCAATTTTTTCTGTAAATGAGAATAGCCTTTTGTGAAAAATGTTTTAGCATCTGTGTTTTATTCCTCTGTGCTCTTCAGGAGTAAAAGTAGCACAGGAAGTTGTAGATTCCTCCTGTCCTGTGTGCTACAAACTATTTTTCCCTTCCTTAAAAAAATTCATAGTCACAGATTTTAAAATGCCATTACTCCTGTGATTTTCAGGAACAACTATTATCAATTCATATCTTAGGTCAACTAAGTTGGCAGAACAACACTGGCAGAAGACAGAAAATGTTCCTCCAGCTGGCAGTTTTTAAAACCTGCAGAAGTTGAAATAAGCTGAGTGGCTGATGTATGAAAGAGAAACACTCAAGGCACAAAGATGAGAGTCAAGTCTTCTATGCTTCAATGTGCATTAGAAATGGAAAAATACAAGCTTTCACTCTGCTGCTACATGAGAGCATTATTATTGACATGCATTTACCCCGGATGATTGCAGTACATCCCAGGGAGTTGAAATGCAACTCATAGCAAAGAAAAAAAAACTCCAGAGACCATGCAGTATATTTTCCCCTAGAATTTAAATTGAAACTGATTTTATTGTTTTTCTATAGGAAATAGCTGTTTGGCTGGGTTCATAAATGGAAGGATGGAATAACACTAGTATTTAAAGACTACAGCTAGGGAGGTTTTTTTTATAATTAAGGGCCAAAAAGCAAGTACAACTCACTGGAATGTATTTTTCTGTCATGATTAAGAACACTGTCCTATCTTACTGAAAAAGTTATCCAGAACAATTGTTACAAATTCAAAGAATTCACGTATAACATGACAAAGCTATAGTTTTATCAAGCATAAAAAAAAAAGTTCTTTAAAAAAGAAAGACTGGAAAAAATTTCTTTCTGATCCAATCCCAAAACCTTAAGGAAATGCCTGACCTCCATATAATTTCTTATTCAGGTTATAATTTTAGTATGATATAACTAATAAAGCCCAAAAGCACTTTAAAAAAATTATAGCTTATGTAACTTCTCATGTCATTCTCATCAGAGTTCCTGTGCACATTATTTCTTTGCAGAGGTTATTTTCTACAGCACAATCATGCATTCTAATGTTTTATGTATCAGAGAATAATGTGAAGGTCTCTCACCTGCTTGTAAATGTTATATACCCATATTTGACGACATTTAAAAATGTCTAAATTATATTATCTTACTTCCTGTAAATCTGAAACTCCAAAAACCTCATTTTACATTTCTACTCCAAGAAGTTTCTTCTTGCTGAATGCCACGTTAAAATGTTCAGACTGAACTTAATTCAGACTGAATTAGGGGCTGAACTTTAATAGCAATACTGATTGGTTTTGTTTTTAAAGAGACAGATTGAGCACAACAGCAGCAAATCTCTAAGACCACAAGGTCCTCATAATGTACTCAGACCTGTATGTAAATTAACTTGATCAGGACTTCACACAGTGCAAGGACTTCAAAAGTCTTAAAGATTTAAAAACCTAGGTAAGTTTTTGTTTTTATCTAAGCACAAGAAAATAATACAATACTCCATAAAGAACAAATATGTGTATTGTAGGTTTCTTTGGAAAAAATGTGAAAGCAAATGGACGTAAGATTGAAAAAACTGGACACATTTCTTTACAATACAGGAATTTACCAGGGATAGAAGCTTGTACAGATGAGTTTTCTATATACAGCAATCCCACTGGATGCAATCCCAATCATAAGATCTAGATTATGGAGATCCTAAAAAAGAAAAATACTGTAAGAACACAGATGCAGTTTGTGTCATTCACATTTATCTACTAATAAATTTATTTTCACACTTTCTATACCTAAATTGCTACACTTGAGGAATAAAATCAATGACATTTTTGAGTTTTGATTTTTGCGCATGTCTTTCCTTTGATGTTATCTATTACACATTCTAAATATTATTCATTCATTAAAGTTGTAACATTCATTCTACTACCCAGGATGTTCCTTAGGTCTGCAACAAGAGTAAATTTGCAAGTCTAACCTTATTTATTTCAGGAAAGAAGTTGAAATACTTCCAAAGATTAGTCAGGTAAATGTCACAGAATTTTGGGAACTGAACAAAAATTGCCTGATTACATGCTGTTAAAAAAAGGAGAGGAAATAATTCCTTACTTTTTCCTAAAAGGTCTTACCAAGAAAGACTGCACAGGAGGTGACCATAATTTCACACATGAGAATATGTTGGAGAAATACACATGAACATTTCATATAATAAATTAAATCCATTATTAACTAAACCAAAAGCTGTGCATTAGCTTAACACATGCAACTGGGAAAAAAAATCAGAATTTTACAATCCTTTCTAGGTACTGAGATACTCAAGAGAAAACATATAAGCAAAGATTTGAGTTTAAAAAAACCCCAAAAACAAAAAGGCAGAGAGGAGGATGCTGGATGGCCATTTTGAGCCTAAACCCAGACCAATGTTAAAGAAGTTACAAATCTTGGCTTCCCAGTTCTTATGATCAATACACACTAATGTGGCATTACACAGATTTCTAAACAGACCTAAATGTATACATCAATCCACATGTAAGTAGAATCCATCGTTTCAAATATCAGCTTTGACTCAAAAGCAGTTTCAGATTGTTTTTAAAGGACAGCCAATGGTAACAGAATAAAGCCTTCAGTAGCACAGTTGCTCCTCTAGATGGTACTCTGGGCTCAATTAATATATGGCTTTCCTCCACGTCCAATCCCAAATTCTTTATATTAGTAAGGTATGGGAAAATATAACAGGTAGCATGTGCTCTGGCAATACTGTGGAAAGTCTATAATAAATCCTTTAAAAACAGTTGAATAGAAGTGTGATTCAGGCCCATGAATGAGTGAAGTCCAACCTAATTTGCAAAGCATAATACAGGAATCCAGAAGTGACATCCCTGTATTTTAGTACTTGGGAAAAACACTGAGGTATTCAGGAGATTAAGTGCCTACAGTTTAGCTGCTTCTGCCATGATATGGCCAACCTAAAGCAGGGTAGAAAATTGTATTATTAGCACTCTGAGCTTACACTAGGCTCCTGCTTTTAAAAATCAATACTGTGAAGAAAAAACAGCTTTTAAAGTAAAACCTTAGAATCAACATGATTAAGTAGAAACAAAGGATTATCTAAAACACTTGATGGGGATTAATTAGGCTAAACTACTCTATTTTCTCCAGAAGCTTTGTCAGAACAAAGTTCATTCCTTACCCTCCTCTGCACCAGCCCAAACCACTAAGCTCCCATGTTATTTGTTACTATGAATTCTTTTGTATAAGGCCTAAGAAACACAAAATCAAGATGCTGGAATAGCATAAAGAGAGGGTCTCTTTAATGAAAAATGATATTGATGTACAGTTATTTCACTTTCATAGCATGCTGTTAAATTGCATAAGAAAGAAATAACACGCATATTTTTATTAAAAAACAGGCAACATGAAGAAGATAATAATAAAAAGTTGTAAAGAAAAGTTGTAAAAAATTGTCATGCAAGGCATCTAGCTAGTTAAATACCGATTCATATTTGATTTAATTTACAATTACCATTTTTATTTTTGTAGATATGGAAATAATATTGATTCAAAAAATTTCCTATCTTCAACTCTCTGAGTAAAAATGAAAGATAAGTTAACAGCAGATTAATTATTGAGCAGAGGGGATAGTGGTCCAGAGTGAAAAGGAGATTAGAAATTCAAGGAATATCAATATAGTTTTAAGATATTGAATTCACTCTCTTGAGTCTCCCCTACCACTATCACATATTTTATTATTTTAGCAGTTCAGATTTTTCATCAGAAAAAAAGCAAAAGTGTTTGCAGATGAAAACTGAGCTCAGATTGAAGTTGCATATTTAGTAAGTTGCTAAAAAAAAAAGGCTCACACTTATATTAAATATTTAACTTTGTAACATAAAACAAAAAAAAAAAAAGGAAGCTATACATCCATCTGCTCTTCAAGAAACATTATCCAAGAGTATCCCACTCTCAACCACCAGTACAGGAGCACCAGCTTCTTTGGGCCATTAGTATAAAAGCCAGGTGTTACCTGGTTCTTCTGCCATACACAATCTAAGAGGAACAAGATCATCAGAATCCACAGAGATAAACCCTTTCACAGAGACACAGTTTAATTAGCCCCTGCTAAATCTGTCAAGGCACTGGGATGTGACAAAACTGGAAGGATGATTTAAAAGCAGTACTGAGAGGGGGGAGGATACCAGGAGGCACTGTAAACATCCCTGCCAGAGCAGGGGCAGGACACAGTAGCCTCTGAAGAAGCAGCTTATAAACCTTCACTGTAAACTTCTTACAGGGAGCAAGGCCAACCTCATGTTGGTTGAGAGGTTTGCCTCATGGCATTCAATCCAAACAGGGACTTGCAACTGATGTTTTAGAAGGACAAAACTTCAGAGACAACCAACTAAACCCTGACTGATGACTTCCCTTCTCAGCTTCAGGTCATTTACAGGTAGAGGATTTCCTGGTTTAGAAGCTTCTTTTATGTTTAATGGACTCCAGTGACTGCCTGACTGTTCGTGATAGCTATTTCACCTTGAGCATCCATTCAATCAGAAGTAACCCTTACAGTTCAACTGCAGCATTGTGGGAAAAGTTCCTTTACTTAAACCTGTCTCTTTTTGGGTAGACTGAAGATCTTGTTGGCTATTCACATTCTCCATGCTATTCACCTGCTACAGAAGGCTTTTTCTTTAAACATTCATGATTGTTATCCTTCTCTGTACTTTTCTTTTTCCATTACCTACTCTGAGATAAGGAAGGGAGAGGAAGAATGAAGATCAACATTCAAATGATATTGAAACTCAATTTGAAATGTGGCATGATATTTTCTGGTTTGGGTTCTATTTCCTTCCTCTCAGCTTCTAAACATCTAGATGTCTAGTTCAATGCTAGAAAAAACAGATCACAGATTTCATCCTTAAAAAATGAATTTTGATAAAACTATTATTTTGAATTGAAACAGTAGCAAAATTGTCTGCAGTGAAATTTCATTTAGCTGAAAATGTCTGAATCCAATCTATTATCACTGCTGGCACTGGTAAAACCACTACTGACACCTTGCATGCAGTTCAGCAGCCTGCAGCTCAGGAAGGATAATGGAAATTGGAAGAGCTTTCAGAAACAACATCCTGTCAATATTAAGAGACTGGTCACAGTCTAGAGTGGAAATCTTAGCACTCAAGTTGGCTTATCAAAGTACTAGGCTATAATAGAAGTTAAAAGGCAAATATCCAATCAAGTTAAGTGAATATAGTGATCTCAAGTGTAACACTAAGAACTTCTCCAATAAAGTAGAAAGGTGACAAATAACCTAATGGACAGACTATACAAAGTCAGATTTAATAATTTCCCTGTCTTTCTACTTTTATCCATTATTTTAAAAAGTGTCTACCTTTTGAGCACTGTATTTCATGAATATGAATGTAATTGCAGTGGCTTCATATAGAAGCACTTTAAGAATTTCTAGAAATTCAATGCAACACTCACTTATTTGTGGCAGCATAAAGAAAAACAAGAAGAAAATATGCTGAAGGAAGCAAACTACTCACTCTATTCCTTCCTTATCATTAAAGAAATTTATCAATTTTTCATTCTAACTCTTAGTGTCAGGATTGTTAAAAAACCTCAAAAAATGTTAGGAAAACTAGAAGTCATCTTCACTTATGAAATCAATTATCTATAGTACACTTCCTTTGGTTTTTACACTACAAGTCCTATACAAAAACAATTTACTATTACACAGAAGCACAAAAGGTAACTTGCACCCTAGAATGCAAATAAAAAAGCATTTTGGGGATTCACTTCAGATGAATAGTGTAGCCAAAAAATTAAATTGCAGTAGACAATGAAATACTAAGACATGTTTCTTATCAATAAACACCCTGTATTTAAAGAATTCAAACACATTTTTACTGGTCATCACTCATGTTGTTAAATACTTAGATTTAGCCTGGAATCAAGGAATACAGGAATTTAAACGTGAAAAAACCTCTATAATCTTAACACTAAAAAAAATTAGTGCTAGAAATTCAGAGAAATTAACCTCACAAAACACCTGCCAACTAATAGCACTAAACAGAGCATTTAATTTTCTTTCATGCTAAGACACTCAGAAATCTTTGTAAAATTATTAACTAAAATATATTGCAGTAATCAAATAGTTTATCTTAAAAATAATTTATTACACTTTGAGGAGCTCTAGCTTATTTGGTTGAAATTCTAGCACCTATGTCATACATAAGTTATTGAAAAATTACCCAGCTCTACTTAAAAATAGAGATGATAAAGTCAGTACTTAAATATTACCTTTTTTTTTACTGCTATTAATTAATGTAAAAAAAAAACCACATAAATTTACTTTCCAAGGGAAAAATTACAATGTAAACATACTCTACCACTGTGCAATTCCACTCCATAGAATTCAAGTGTTCTTGCTATATTTATATAGCAGGACTCTGCTTCAGATTGCTTGAGGCCACTAGAAGAAGGGAAAAAGTAATAAATTTGAACCACAGACAAGTCAAAAGTAAAAGATATTATATCATATTTATTCCAAAAGCATAAAACCAGAAGAATGCTGAAGTCCAGTGTCTCAGAAATAACCCTACATTAAGTAGTGCCACAATTTCTTTACTGGTGAATACCCTGCTAAAGTACTCCCAAAAAATTAAGTGAATTATGTGTGATTTTATTACCTTAGCCACTCTGGACTAGCTATTTTTAGAAAAATCTTTGTTATCTGTTATTTTCAAAGGGATGAGGAAACAATTCCCCTATAAAATCTGACATTTTTAATAAGAAGCTGTATCTGTAAATACTGTGCATTTCATAGTCTCTCAGAAAGTAGTCATGAAGAAGAAAGATAAGAAGCACGAATGCACTAATAAAATAAAGGAGAGAGAACAGACTAAAAGTTAAAGATATGAAACACACCAAGGAAAAGCCATCTGAGTTAACCTAAAATCTGTAAGTACTAAAATATTTTTTCTCCTGCAGATAAGACATTAAAATCATAAAAGCATTTGACCTTTTCGTCTTCAAGAAAGCTTCTATAAGTACAGGTAAAAACAACTCTTTACTAGGTAAGCTTCCAAAACAACATGCATAAAATTACATTAATGAAATGCAATTTAGGTACAACCTGCAAAAAGTTGACATAATACTGAGTTATGTTAAGAACTCCAGCCTCTATTACTCCCAATTAACATCTCTCTTTTTAAATGCAAAGCCATCCAAATACAATGCCCTGAAACAGTCACTCTAGGAAATCTTACATCATGCTGCAGAGAACTGAAAGCTACCTTGAACTGGAAAGCCATGGCCAGTGTGGCTTGACGATGCCATAACATCAGGAAAAAAGAGAGCAAGGATGAAGAAAACTTCTGTTTGTCATAATACTGAGCTAAACTGGTTTCTCAGATCTACATGTATACTGACTTTTGTCAGCTTGATTCTGAAAAACTTTAGTAGACGCTGTATCTTTCACTGTGTCAGAAAATTATAGAAACAAACTAATGTAAAATGGCCATTTTGTTATATAAAAGTATGCTGAATATGTTTGCAAAAGTACATTGCTGTCATTTTAAATATTTTGATCAAGTACTTTGTTCAGAAGGTCTGCTGCACACTAACAAGATATGCCTGCAAATTTTAATTCTCAATTTGTATACTCCATCTACACCAGACCAGTCATGCTTTGTGTCTTGAAGGGCCAACAAGTATCTCAGCACAGACTTAGGTTTTTTACTCGTTGTTACACTCTCCTACTCAATTAGAGGTGAAATGAAACCTTCAGGTCCCTAAGCAGATGGTAATTATTCTGTGAGATAAACAGGCAAGAGGAAACTGGTCTTGATGTTCCAATTTTTACAGTTGTTGATACCCAAGGACTAGTGAACCTCATCTGGAATATAAGCATCCTATTTGGTTTCAAATGCATCCTTCTCTTCAAACTGATGGCTGGATCTAGCAAGCACTATGAAAACCTTACCAATTTGGACAATATCTGCATCCTAAGATCTCAGGCTGCTTATGTTACTCAGCAAAACACAGCAGGAAAACCACATTAGAACCAACTATATACAAAAAAATCCCCCTATGGATTTAGGGATGAACACAGAAGGAAAATTTCTGAAGCTACACAAGTGCAATATGACAATAAACTGCTTTCTTAACAGCTACATACTGTCCACTGAACAGTGTGACATGGACTTCTTCAGGGAATACTTCCTCAGATTTTGAAAAGCAACATAAGACCTAGGTAACAAAAACTTTGCACTGAGTTACAGCACATAACAAGACATAACTTCTCAAGTCTGTATTTCAGCAATTCAAGCCTTTTTATTTTCCTTTGTGAAAGTTTCCCAAAGCATAGACACTAAAGAATGAAAAAAGGATAGATGTTTATAGAGTTGGCTTTGAAACCCTGTAATATAAGAATACCAATTTCAAAGCTATAATAACTTACAGATAACCTATACAGTTTACAGAAATATTTTTTATTCCAGATTAGCAGAAATTCCATTCCAAAGGAACAATGTTCTCTCAAAGGTAAAAAAGTGAATTCTTCCTTTCCATCTTTCTTTCCTAGCAGCTCTGGTGAACACCCGAGCCATTCTTGTCAAGTATGCTCTTGGCACTGATGTAGTCAAATTCACGTCTGAGACACAGGAATGCCAAAGGAGTATGCAAGAAATACTGTCAGGATATACAATAATTTGTCTGCCTCTCCTCGCACTTTGAAGTAAATTGGCATCAAGAGCTAAGTTTCTAAAGACGTGTTAAAACAATAAAAAAAAAATTTCAAGTCCAATTTACTCAGTATTTTTATTCAGACCTTCAATTACCAACATCTCTGTTAATTCCAATACAGATGTTAAACTTCTCAACCATCAAGGCTTCTTCACCCCAAAGACACTCAATGAAAGCACTGGTATCACTGAAAGGACACAGAGAAGAAAGGTGTCTTTCCAACAGACCCCAGCACACCTTAGTCTGGACCAATGCTAACTTCTGATCTTTACTCTGCAGTTTTATATCTCTTGCTACCACAGCACTAAATACCTGAGCTCAACCCAGCCAATCCAAGACTCTTCAGAAACTTCCCTCAGTGGTCTCCAAGGTGACTGCTTCCAAAAGACAAGCAGGTTTATTCATTCCTGTCTAAAAACTTCCCCTCAAAAAACTACTGAGCCTACTGGAAACTGCAAATTAATTTGGAAGGAGTAGAAAGAAGCATCAGCTATTGTGTGCCTGAACATGGACTGTTTGGAAAGCAGCCCAGATTAGTATCTCCAACAGAAATGGCAGCTGCAGTTTAGAGTTCAGCGGTTATCTTCTTTTGCCCCAAAAAATGACAAGGCCTGTGCTGGATGGCTAGGGACCACACGTGAAGTTCAGAACTACTCACTACACCCACTAGCAGTAAAGAAACCAGAGGAAAAAATAAGAGTATTGAAAGATGAGAAAAAGGCAGCTGAGGGACATTAGGAAGACATGAAAATGGAAATATTTCAGGGTATAAATCAAAGAAACTAAGAGAGCAGGGAATTAGCTCTGCCGCAGTTAAGATACAGACAGAGAAAACAAGTCTACAGAGATTTGGATTTCATTTGCTCACAGACAATTTCTTAGATTGGTCTATTTGCATTCCCCTTGCAAGTATCTGATCAACACCACTAATTCCAAAGCTGCAGTCTTACAAGAGACAAATCAGCAGGGTCAGAAAAAATAATTAGCAGTGCACTGACTGGAATAATCTGTTGCAGCCTTTGTATTAAACTCAGGAGAGAGGAGTGAAAGCACAAAGTTAATTGAAGTGGTTTATGGTTATGGCATTTCTTGGAGTTTTTTCCCACATATATAGACAAAAAAAATATGTAGAATTTGAAAAATGATCAAATGTTCTTCATGCAGCAAACTCCTCAAACATCTGGTATAGTGTTCTAGATTGTTGACTTTAATAATATTTAAGGCTAACTAATCTCCTGGAGGTTATAACTAGAAATTTATTTAAATCTTTCAACACATTAGCATCATACTCTGAATATAATTAATCTAGCATCTCTATGATAAACCAGAGTATTTCATTTAACAGCTACATAAAATACTGTTGTAATGAAACTACTAAGAACTCAAGTCTTCCTTTTGACATCTTTTTTTTTTCTTTAAAAGCTCAAGAGGTGAGAGAGAACTAAAAGTTCACATTACCTGTGTTGCTCATGTAGTGTTTCTACTTTGGTAAGAAAATCTTTGTTCTGCTCCGGTATAAAGTTGTAATTTGAAAGATATCCTGAACAATGCACTGAAGCATTATAGTCTCCAAGTTGTGCTGTTAAAAAACAAGAAACACATATACAAAGTTTTCATAGTTAATTGGATTTTTGTTTAGAAGAAATTCCTTCTCATTAAAATGCATACACATATGGGAAAATGCAGAAATTACCAATTATTTCCCAACAGACAAGAAGTGTTGAACATTGGGAACTGTATGACCTCAGCGAGGTAAGACTTTTTTCAAAATACACTTACCATAACTATAATCTCAGGCACTGAATGACTCAGTACTTTATTTAGTTACTTATGTAGCCTCACTTTTGCATCACAACCTGTAACAGCACCAGACAGATGTCATGTGCTGTGCTGACACACACATGCTGCACTGTAACATCAGAGAACACCAAATTACTTCAGTAAGAGATGGCAAATGAAACCAATTTGACGCATTTACTTGACTAGAACATATTAGAAGTTTTCAACAAGATCTGTCACTTAAAAAGCATCCACTCTTCCCAAATTCAGGTGGAAATCACCCTACTACCAACTGTAACACTGTCCTAGAAATTGAGCTGTGAATTACTTAACAGAAAGAGTGAAATAACTGCCGATAGACACATAACATTACCAAGCTGCTAAAAAAAGTAAATAACTATAACCTGTGCTAACCTTCTTTTTCATAAGGAGTATAGAATAGTGGTTATAAAGCCCTAAAGTTTCCCAGAAGTTATTGGTATGCTTTGCACATTAACACAAAAGAAAGTAACTGATAGGCTGCAAACAATTCAGCATCAAAAGCTCCTCAACTAAATCAAAGTTCAAAAGCACGCTTTTAGGATATACTATCAATTATATTAACACTATTTTCCAGAAAATTTTTAAAAAAAAATACAAAATAGATATTTAAGTGATTCAAGTTGAGGGGCATGAGAGGCACATCAGAAATAACTTACACATAGTAATTATGTAGGATCTGTAATGTAGGGGATAACTAATATTTTCCACATATATATATTCAAATTGCATGATTTATATGGTCCAATGGAACTACAATGATACAGTACAATTCCCAGGGAAATGCAGTCCAAAGGTAATAAAGTTGCACACCTAATTGTCTGCATCAAAACAAATATTTAAATAAAAAAGGGAATGATAAACTAATTTACTTTAAATGCAGAAAGTCTTGCCTACTTAGTTCTTTCTTTTAAAAGGTAGCCTAAACTTTAAATTAATTAGCAAATGGCAGGCAAAGGACTAAATATTTTCCATGAGAGCCAAAAATCGTATTTGAACATTACTGTAAAGTTATCTGAAGAAAAAAAAACAAGAACAAATAAAAACAAACCAAAACAAAAAATCACCAAATCAACCAAGACAGACAATGCAGAAGTATCACAAGAAACTGATTTTAGAAATATCTCTATATTGATAAAAGTCCAAGCGTGACAATGCTAAGTCTAAGGCAACAACAATAAAAGTGAAAATTCGAAACTTTTAGAAATAAGTAGTATGCTAATAACAGTGTAAAATAAAACTCACAATTTCACAATTACAGTAGTTGACTGAGGATCCCTTCCTTTGCTAGTCATTAACACAACCCATCTTTTCTATGAAACAATCTACATCTTTAAGGTTTGCTGCAGCCAGTTTGAATTCCAATCTTGCCAGTGGGAAAAGAGCAGATTACCAGAAATAAGATAATGTCGTTTTCTACTTCAATTTTGTTTGCAATAGGAAAAGATATTGTTACTGTAATTTTACGTTCTCTAAAAGAGGCAACTGTTATTCCTCCATACATTATGAGGTCGTCTTCTTTCTGATCTTCTAAATAGGCAACTGGGTTTTTTTCCTCTTGCTACTAGCTACCTGAGGCCATGCCAACAAGGGGAGCAATTTAGCTTCTCCAACTCCCTAGCCAGCTGTTGCAGTAGAAGAGAAACATCTTGCTAGACTAATGATCTTGTGTAAAATTTAATTATCCAAGAAGGAAAAAAAAGTTAGGACATATCGAGATGCCAGCAAGAATAATAACCCATGATGCTTCTATCTCTTTACTGGTTTTCTCCAGAAGAGAAAAGAAGGGCAAAAAATATTAAAGACCTATTTCTAATCTGAGTTTCTCCTGACATAGTTTCTGCTCTGATCATGAGACAACAGATACTAACTCAATGAAGATAGAGTATAAAAATAATATTTTAACCTTTCTCCATTCTAGACCACTGTTGCTCTTTAATTTATTATAACTGGCAAGCAATATAGAGCAAAGTGAGAGAAAGTGGAACCAAGGATGAGTCAAAAAACAAACAAACCCTGATATTTAAATATCAGAATACTGTATTTTAGAGTTATATATCGAATATGAAAAGCTTTAAAGGAAGGAATGTGATGAACCATTAATTTAGAAGGACATATTCAGTAAAACCAGAGTATTTATTTTTAATTTCTAGTAAAAGAAGATTCAATAGCCAAGTAGCCATGCCAAAACACTAGTTCTACAAACTTTCAATAAAGAAAGAGCTTATAAGTGCTTGAAACACAAGCCTTGAGATCATATATGTTTAAAAAGCATAGGATCTTTCTATGCCTTATTGAAACCTAAAGAAGTCATATATTCTTCATACTTTTTTCAAAAGTAATTTGTTCAGATATCCTTCAAGGTGCAGATGTCATTGTTCTCTAATTCTACAGACTTTGCTTGTAAATAATAAGGAAAAGAATTGCATCCAAAGCAATAGCACCAGAACCTATTTCTGCACATGGGCATTTCAAGTAACTTCACATACAAGAAGGGAAATGCATGAATAGCTCATTGCCTAACCATGATGAGAAATCAGTTATAGATCATATGGACAAACTGCCCCAAAGGAATGCCTACAAAAGCTAGTCTTTAGAAACTGGTTAAATATCAAATTTCCATAGACCTGAGAAGTATACCAGAAAATAATCAAGCAGGTTCATATTGAATTTGTAACTTTTTTGCAATTTTAATATTTTAGGTCACATGAATAAAGCACAAAAGTGAATTGAGTTTCCTGTTTAAAAAAAGGATAACTACATATAAAGATAAGGTTCAGAGGGCAACAGAATAAACAAACAACAGGAAGAGTCTTGCATATAAATTGTAAAATCCCTCACATATAAAACTGCAGTCCAGGATTAAAACATAGAAATCATGGGATCATATGACTGGCCTCCAAATCAAGACAGCAATAATGACTCACATTCCTGAGATGAGGGTGAAATGTAGTATTAAAGGTTAATGATTAATTTATCTTCATATGAACACTGAGGTACAAAAAGTAAAGATACTTAATCTATACAGTTCGATCAGTTTAGAAATTTTAAGTGATTGCTTCTTCACACAAAAAGAACAGAAGAAAGATTAACTTCCTAGCATAAACTGTTTCTGAACAGTAACTAAAAATTATTCAAATATTAAAATGTTTCTGGAATCATAAAACAATCTGCTACAGCAGAATTCAGTTTCAAAGAACCAGCATAAAAATGCAGACACTTACTAAAGACAGACTAAAAGGCAAAAGGTAAAAAGGTACATTGGAATGATCAAAATGACACCATGTTGAAAATGGTTTCGAGAGAGAAATTTCTAAAAGGACCAAAACCCTCAGAAGTGAATGTTGAGAGAAGGAATGGTGTTTCAACAAGTGGAACCTGTATCCAGATAAGGATGTGAACATGAACACTAACCCACTCAGTCCCTAAGAAATTGTGATGTCCCTACAGGACAAGTAGAACTAGCTATCATGTGAGTTAAAACTAATTTGTTTTGCAAAAGGAAATAATGCTTCACACTCAAGAGCCCTTACAAAATGTTCAGCCTAGGCATGACTGTAAATAGCTGCTTACGACCACTTACAACAGCTGGCCATTTTGTGGTAAGACAGAATGAGAAATTAGGCATTAATAAAAACAAAGGAACATTTGTAGAGGAAAAATAGAGAAAACTATGCATGCACAATGGTAGTCTCCAAGTTATTTACCACTCCAGAATGAAAAATGAGCCAGTCATTGTAATGCCTTTTATTAAAAGAACTAAAAAATAAAAATCAGCAGCTCAAAACCCAGACACAGTCAAACAGCAACACAAAACAATAGTCACAAGGAAAAGGAAGAAACAAATTAGAAACTATAAATTATACTGAGTTGCTGTTTCTGCATCTCAAATACAACATGTACTTCAGAAACCATACAGACACAATCAAAAAAAAAAACTACTGAGAAAAGCAAAGTATAATCCAAGGTACAGGGAGTATTCATTTTGAGGAGACATTGGAATAAAAGACTTAAAGGAATAGTTACCAGTACTCCTCACAAAACATTGTGAGGCTTTACCAAACTAATGCATCTCATCCTCTGCCATATATGTTGTTTCTCAGCATTCATCACTACTCATTTGAGAATCAAAAAGTCATTTAGGTTGGGCAAGACCTCCAAGATCATTGAGTCCAACCCTTAACCCAGCACTGCCAAGCCCACACAAAACCATATCCCTCTGTGCCACATCTACACATTTTTTAAATACCTCCTTGAATGCTGACTCCACCACTTACCTGGACAGCCTCCTCCAAAGCCTGACAACCCTTTTGGTGAAGAAATTGTTTCTAACAGAACCTAAACCTTCCCTGGTGCAACTTGAGGCTGTTTCCATGAGTGTAATTCTGTATTACATGGACCTTGACCTTGGGAAACTCTTCTTTCCCCCTTTTTAGTTATGTTACACAAAAAACAATTAAAAGAGTCATCCAACTCAAAATGCAGAAGAATAGTAGTGTCAAATCTATGAGGCACTGCAGAAAGTCAGCTCCTTCAGCTACAGCACTGGCCAGTATCCCAATTTGGGGTTCTCCACTCTGGGGACTATACCTTGTTTTTAAGTGTTACGGTTCAAAAATTATTTGTGGCCTAATGGAAGACCATCACAAATACTTCAAGCAATGATCTCCTGAAGTGGCTTTTGTATTGCCTAACACAACTGTAAAATATAATTAGGGAAAACCAGCCCAAAAGAGCTGGAAAGTTGCTGTATGTAAACAATCAGGACACTTAGATGATCTGTTGTACAGAGATGCTAGCAAGCTCAGGAGCAGCAATCTAGAACTCAGTGAACTATATGGAAGGAAATGGGAATGTTTTTCAATTAATCTCTCCAAGCTGATTCTTGTATTGGGAGTTTCATCACCATCACACAGATAACACTGGCACTGCTGATGACAGGTACTCTAAGATATGATAAATGGTGTCTCTGAACAACACTGATACAGGCTTCAGAAGAACAGATGTGACATGCACACAATCCTCAGACTACCCAATACACCTAGTAAGTAATTTCAAACCCTGGAAATTCAGCTCAAAATTCTCTCTGCTAATCAAGTCTGATTTTGATTCTAAGACACAAGGGGTAAAGATGCCCTGGAAAGAAGCAGAAATCTGCATCATCTGTAAGCAAGTCTCTCAGCTTATATGAGATGTCCTTATGAGCACTATTTTACTTGAAGAAAGCATGGGTAGGGAGCACACACAGAAAAATCCCCAAATGCTAACCATGAAAAGAGAGAGGTTTCCATAAACTAGGAAGTCTGAGAGGTCAACCTAATTTTTATAAAGGCAAAATGATAGCAAGTCAGAAGAAAGAGTCAGGCCTCACTGTGGTGTTGATGTTTCTCTAAGTCTTACAGCCCACTCTCTGGGACATCAATCTTCTGGCATTCCCAAAATTTTAATACTCTTATTCCCAGTTCCTGAGAGACTTTCACATTAAAGTTCACAAAGTTCAGCTTTCCTTGACTCCTCAGCATCATCTTTCCTCAGCTTTCCTTTCCTTAGAAGAGGTTTAAGTCCATTGGAAGCCCTAGCAACCAGTCAACCCCTTTCTGAACAAGTCCCAAAGACAGATTGCAGTGTGCTAGAGATGATCCCTGGTTCTCAAAGCAGGGCTGAGAGGAGCAGTACCACAGGAGACAAGAGCAACTGATGCTCAGGAAAAAACAAACTTAGAAGCATTCATAACATCTTGTCTGGCTTTATTGCTGTGCTTCAGATTCAAGGTCCAAATCAGCAATGGATTTATTAACATAAGAGCATATTCTCACAAAACCCATGGGGATTTCTTAAATACCAGTATCTGGGCATTTAAACAATGGCCTGGAAATGGCAATTTGCTACATGAAGCGACAGAAAACAAGTGTTGCTAAATCATAATTTGAAATTTAAAAAAGGAATAGTCATACTGTATGGGTTTCCTTATTTGGTTTTATAGACAGTACAACATTCCCATTTTACACAACTAAAACCACATGATTTATCAAGGGTTTTTTTCAGTATGATTCTATCCTTCCAACTTCACAATGATGAAATTATTTGAAATGCACCTTAACAAGTTCTTCTTAAAAAAAAAAAATTCAAAATCCACTGACTGTTTTGTCACAAAGCACATTCCTGATAATACACTAACAACTTATTCTTGAAGTGCCTGAAGTATTTTCGTAATCAGGTTCAGTCACATGTTCTTCAGACACAGTATTCACACCCACTTGCATTCCCCTGTAACTTAGCCCCACCACGCAAGGCAGGGTGTGTTGCAGCAGGGCAGAGGGACACGTCAGAGCTTTATTTCAGAGATTTATTTCAGAACCAAATGCCTGCACACAGGGCACTACAGAGAAGCAGCATCCCAGTAGATATCACCAAAAACTGTCCCCTTGCGAAACTCAAAGTCTCTGAAGCCAACCATACAACCAGCACACAGAAGAACTTCAGTTAAGAAGCAAGAGCAGAAATATCAAATACCAGACATCATACACTGTGAAAGAGATCTGCTTCAGCCCTCCCATCAGCAACAACTGCTACACCTTTTAAATAAACAACCCACAAGGCTATCAGACAACACGGATTTCCCCTTCTGCATACAAGGGAAGGCATAGAAGGAGAGAGCAGCCTGAAAGCCTCCAAGAAGTGGTAGTAAACAGCTCAGGTTGAACTGATTCATGGCAACCTCAGACAATGGATTTCTCATAAGCAGCTACCTCATACCAAGAACTTCAGCTTTCCTTACTAAGTATGATTAGAAATGAAAATGCTAATAGAAAACTACTTAAAACTATTTCAATTGACAGGAATCACAGCAAACATGACTCAATAAGGAGACTGAAATCCCTGATTTCACAAATGTCTTTCCTATGCCATCATCTTCAGGTAAAAGCAAAAAAAACCTAAAACTTAATGGAATATGTCTTTCATTTAAGCATTCATAAGCATTTCATTCCCTACCAACACAGAGAATAAATATCGGTATCACACAAACAGCAACAGAAAGGAAATCAGATAGCAAAAAATAGTTACTTTTGGGTTTGGGGTTTTCTGTGCTGTGGCTTTTTTAATTAAAAAGAAACAAGAAAAATACTCACCACCTGGTAAAAGCAGCACCATAAGAAGTTAGAAAAAACAGATAAATAGCTCGATGGAAAATCCAGAATCCACCATGAAAGAAATGATTAAAACACACTAGCACTGTTTGACAATCTTCACTGTCCTTCTATCATTCTCCTTTAGTACAGATAACTGTGTTAGTAGGTATCCTAGCCTAAGTACTAAAAAGGGAACAGTCGTAAAACTGAAGGGGAAGCAGGAACATCTTGGGGATTTGGGGTATACTCGATATAGCATTATTAATTTCCCTTTTGATAAAACCTTTGCATTCTTCACTTTTGAGCTTTAGCACAATTGGATCACCAATTCATTTAGCAATCCTAATGGTGCAGAGTGTTTCAGCCTTCAAGTGCCCTTACTGGGCCTCGGAAACACCAGAGCAGGATGCATTTCATTTGGTACCAAAAACTGGGACTATGGGAAATTTGGAAAATTTCAACTGTTCTTACTGAAGCTTGAATCTGATTACAGTTTCATTTTATAAAAGGGTGCAACATATTATATACTTCAACATAAAAGCAAATGTTTCATAGACTCTTAGGGTTTCAATAGATACTAAGAGTTTATCACATTCCTCTTTGAAAACCACACTTTAATTATTTTAGCTTGGTTCTCATTTCAAACAAAAATACCTCAATTGTTTCTGTGGGCCTTGTTAGCCTTTCCATAAAAGAAATGAGATTCAGCCAAATAATTACACAACTATTCTCGCTTATTTTCCCCTGACTATTTTAACAAATATGCAAACTCCACTAAACCCCCAAAGTGCTTTTTTTCTTTATTTGTTTAATGAGAAAAGTCCTCCTCCAGCTGTTTTTCACTATCTTTTGAGGATGCTTGCAAGGCACTGTCAGACTCCAGTTTGGTTTTCCTACAGAAGATGCTTTTCTAGTATCATCATTTGAAATTTTTTTGCTAGCTGAAGGCAGATGAGAAGGATGTAAGTTCTTATATGTAAAGTCACCTTAAATGTGTTGCAAAGGGCCAGTTTTACATATCTAACAAACCAAATTCCATGAAACAAACATTGTGTAAGAACACTGTAGTTTCTTAATCATGAGTTTACCTTCCTCTTATCTATTCTCTAGATGACCACTTATTCCCTTGGAATGCTTTCTCATAGCTATTATAACACATAGTAAGTTTCCCAGTTTTGTTTCCACTGACAATGCAAACCTGACTTTTTAGTCAGCAGTCAGAAGCACACATAAATAGCAACATTATTCTTGTATCAACTTTTTTTTTTTTACAGGTCTAAAAAGTATTCTTTTTCTATTTAGACTGCCTCTGGAGGCTGCTCTAATAACCTTCACCTGCATACTGAATACTCTGCACAAATAGATAAGGAAAGAAATCTTTCCTGACTTTTCAGTGCCAAAGAGCCAAGAAAGTAGTCAGTCAAATAAATTAATTAACAAAATAATGGTTGGATATTACTTACATTGTACTGCATATGATGCCAGGACAACAGCAGAATTAATGGGGCATGACAACCTGGAAAGGAGAGGAAATAATTTTTATTTAAACATAGGCTGTATGTACGTCTTATTGAAACTGTCTCACAATTAGTTCAGTATGCGAAGACTAATTTATCTTCAAAAGAATATCTGATTTTTTTCTTACTCAGTTTGATTGTTAAAGCACAGTACCAGACATTAAACAGTCCCTTAAGTGAACGGAAGGAACTAATCGGAAAACGACATGCTCAAACTCTTGCTGGATGCTTAGTCAGCAAAGAAAAAGGAGACAATATTTTTATGGGGCTCTGGACATTAATAGCTGTATTCTGGTGTATTTAAAATGAGACACAAACATTAAAATTACCCAAATGCCAAGCACAAAGACAGCTCTGATCTTATGACCAAAACTGACTCTATAAAGGAAAAAAAGCCAACACCGGTAGGTAACTGACATTTGGCAGCAAATACTTGGACCATGTTTTCCTTGTTACTTCTTTTTTAATCTACAAACACATAGAAATCACAGCCAAATAAACCATTGGGTATATGCCCACCATATAGGTAATATAACCCTGACATGAGAAACTATAGCATGAACTGCCCGTTACTATTCCTGATTACTGCACTAGGTATTGGGTCCCCAGGTTTGGAATTCCATGCCTGGCACACCAAGCCTTGCATAAATATTTCTGTGGCTAATGTTGAGCCTGTTGACACACAGCATCTCCTACAGCTCATTCACAACAGACTTCTAAACTGTTCTTAATAAGTGAGCTATGAGAAAATTTGTATCATTTCTTAGCAACATGATTTTCTTTTAAAGCAATGTTTCATAAGACATATTTATAGGATAACTGGGATAATTTTTCAGCAACAATACCCTCAAGTCAAAGGCTTTTTAATTTTATTTTTAAAAGAATTATAGAGAAAGCGAAGATTCGTCTTATTACCTTCCTTCTGCAATATCAATCTTCAACTGCAGAAAGAATAAATGCCTAGAAAATAATTTTTTGGAAAAGAAACAAATGTGCATTTATTTTTAAATGGTATGTTTTAAATAGCAACATATATAAGTTTTACTTCATTATATTTCCCAGCAAGCTATACAAACAGATGAACAAATATTAGTGGCATTTACAAATACACAGTCATACACCCACTTATTCTCACAACATTTTTAAGGATCTTTGGCTGTCTCTACTGCAACTCCAAAGCTGCAGTAATAATGTCACAATTGACACTACAAAAACCAAATAACCACTGAAATGGGCTCTTTTTCTCCCTAGAATACTCATTTTGAATGCAAATTTAAAAACAAATTGAAAAAGGAAAAACACCCCAAATCTCAATTGAGGTTTGACTGTGAAAGTCTATCTTGGAGCTAGTCAATGAAGGATGAAACATTTCTCTAGCTGCATATGCTGACAAAAAAGCTCTTAAACAATTCCCCAAAAGCAGTTTAGTCTTCCTCTTATTAGAGGGTTTGATAATGCTAGTTTATAGTGATATTGAAGAGTGGGCATGTGAATAACTTTAAAGAGCAGATCTTAGAATAATTTCAGTTTTAAACTGCAAAACAGCTTAAAAGTGCATGATTAACAAATACCAAAACAGGTCAAAAGCTAAATTTTCTACAAGAAATATAATTTCACATGTTGTACTACTTATATTCCCAAGTCACTGAAATTAATAAGCAATGAAAGTGCTACAGAAATGCCAGATAATGGCCAGATTAACATGTGCCTTCAAATTCTAAACTCCAAATTACAGGCACTGAACAAAACAAGTATTCAATTAAAATCTTGTGACAAATTAATTGCAAATTGCTTACAATTCATGCACCTCACCACCCCAAAAACTCAAAGACAGGTTTAAAAATAAAACTTCAGAAGTCTATTGTAAACTGAAGCATTATACATATTTGCATGTTACAAGTAATGGTCAAACTAGAAAACAAGAACTGTTATCAGTTCTTCACCAAAAAAAATAAACCCCACCCTCCCACACCCTCAGCATTAAATCTACTACACATGTTTAAAACTGACTCAGTGTTGATACAAAACTTCTAAGATAGATAGACCTAGGGCATACAGACCCAAAAAAAAAAAAAAAAATGCAAGACACAAATAAACGTACTTTTAACACCGACATTTTGTACTAACTTATACACAGCTTACAACTCTGAGGTACAGCTGGAGTGTATCAGAAACTACTCATTTGAGCATGGCATTAAGCTCTCCATTCCAAATGCATTCAATACCAAGAGTAATAGAAAGTTACCCATGTAATAAAGCATAATTTGCCAAGCTGCAGACATGGGTAAGACACATTCTTAGTTCATAAAGGCAAATAGAAGTTACCTGGTTTGTTCTTGCTGAAGTGTATTAGGATCAGGTATAAAAAACCTTACACGAAAATGAAGTGTGCAGGGAAAACCTCCTGCAATATTTTAGAAGAGCAAATCAATATTTAGTTTAAAACAGAAAGAGCATAATATTTTAATTTCTATACTTACAGAAAAATTACATGAACAACCACATAGACATCTCATGCATTTTTTTCATGAAACTCAAAGAAACTATGCAAAGTCTCTCCTGATGCCCAAACAGAAACTTTGAGAAGAAAATACTCTCAAATGTAGTAACACTTTAAATGAAAGTACTTCGCATATGCTACATAAAAGGCATTACTGAGCTTCCTTTGCCTCCTAAGTATTGGAAGAGAGAAAAGCACTAAATATATTTAAGGTATCTCAGCTGGGCTAATGCTCAGTTCTATCTAACATACAAATACATTAAATTACAGCAGTCCAACATGCTACTTTTGTATATGAATTGAAATAAAAATGCGTGATCTGTCGCACAACGTAGAAATGAGAGTGCTGAAAAACATATCTCAAGTGTCACAGCCCAAACTGAGACAGTGCCACTCAGTGTCACTCCTAAGCTGCTCTCCAGCCAGGGTTATGCTGGCTGGCCTGTCCTTCTTGGCAGGCATTCTGTGTTACACAAAGCTGCAAAAAACAAGACATACTAGAACAACAGATGCACCTGGAAGTGTGTGGCATTGGTTTTTTTGGTTAGTTTTTTTTAATAAAAATGCATAAATTTGGGGTTTCTTATTGTATGTGAGATAAGAAATTCTCAGAACCTAATTCTCAGAACACAAAACTGGCTATTCCTCCCTCAATCAAAACCCCTCTTCCTTTGCTTCCCTCTCAGGAGGAATTCACTGGCACCACAATATGACTACTGCTTTCATGGCCATCTAAGCATGTCTAATACTGCTCAGAAACCAGGTTTAGCTGCTATTATAGCATCAAAGTTAATGATCTAACAGGTCTTTCCTCTCAGGTAGGAGTAAAGAAAAGCAGAAGAATCTGTTGAAAAGACTGGAAGACACAAGAATTGCTCTTGAAGAAAAATCTACCATTTGGACAATATGCATTTGTTCTAGCCATAAGAATGCAGAAAAACAGAACTGCAAAGTTACAACCAAGATAGTAAAAATAAGTCTTACCTTTTAACTGTTTTCTAATAGGTTTGCTTGGTTCAAGCCATCGCTGTGAAATGAAAAACTATTAGATGGATTAAAAATAGTTACAAATAAATACTGTTTATGTGCACATGTGTGCATGAATATGTGTGTATACATACATGTGTATATATTTATACACACATATCCATGCACACACATTTATTATTTACTATACTTACAGGTGAATCTACTGAAGTCTCATTTTGCTGTAAACCAAAATATTCCTTCTCTGTCACACCCAGCTGGTTATAGGTCATATCCAACAAAATCTGTCCAGTGTCTTGTTTCTGAAAATAAGAAAAGTTTATAAGCAAAATCTGCAACACTTATACATTTTAAGATACAATTAATTGAAGCTTGTTTAGTTTTGGTTTTTTTCGTAATATAACTCAGGAATAAAATAGCTGCTAATTCATCAATTCAAAGGTTTCCAGCAATAAACGTATTGATAAAGGTTTGGGTTTCTTTCCAAAATACTTTAGGCTCAAGAAATTTCCTAATATGAACAGACATGTATTCCAGCCCTTGACGTGAGTGCAGCAAATTAATTGTAAGCAGGTCACCCCTCCCTTGCCCACAGTGGGAGCCCTGCCCTTCCCTGGAGTGGCAGCCTGCAGGGATGGCTTGCAGACACACGGGGCTGCTCTGGCCCCTGCTGTCACCATAAAGCAGCATGCTGTGCTTCCACATCAGCTAATAAAAGGCAAAGTAAGTATGCACCAGGATGGGAAATAAAAGGAGGGGGATCCTGTGATGCAGCCATGAGACCCCATATTCAGACTGCACTCTCACCTGGCCCTTTGTGTCCACATACTCAGCTTCCATTCAGGCACCCCATTTTCTGCCTAGATGTCCCCCATGACAGGAATCACAGAAGAACTGTGCAACATGGTATCAAACAGCAGAGATCAGAAGTCTAAGGCTGGTACAATTTCCCCCAAACCAAAAAAGAATCTCCATGCCATGGCATTGTGGAGAACAGATTAACCAACTTCTGCCAAAGAACACCATGAACCAATTCTATTTTAAAAAGCTACCAAACACTGAATCAAAAAAACAAACCCCCTCAACAAGACTGCAATCCTAACTATGCTAATAAGTAATAGAGAGGTTGCTGTAATGGATTTGTGTGGCTAGATTTTGGTACTGGGGAGGCACCAGAGCAGAGATTCCCCTGCAGATCATGGTGAAGCAGCTCTGTCCCTGCAGCCCATGGAGTCCCACAAGAGAGGCAGAGATCCACTTGCAGCCTGTGGAGGATCCCATGCCAGAGCAGGGATGCTTGAAAGGAGCTTGTGAATCAATGAGAAGCCAGGGGTGGAACAGGCTCCTGGCAGGGACCTGCAGACCCATGAAGAGAGAAACCCACACTGGAGCAGGTTTGCTGGTAGAAGCTGTGACCCTGAAGGACTGCACCTCAGGGAAGAGTGATCCATATAGCTGCAATTTGTGAAGAACTGTGGCCTGTAGGAAGCCCATTGAAGAAATTTGTGGAGAACTGTCTCCCATGGGAAGGACCACATTGTGGAGCAGGGGAGGGACTCCTCTCCCTGAGAAGCAGGAGAAATAATCTATGGCAAACTGACCAAAATCCCCCTTCCCTGTGTTCCTGTGCCACTGCAGGGGAGAAGGTAGAGCCTGAGCAGGAGAGATGAGTGGTGGGAAGGTGTTTTTAAGATTTATTTTACTTCTTATCCTGCTCTGATTTTGTTTGTAGTAAATTCAATTATTATCCCCAAGTTCAGTCTGTTTTGCCTGCAACAGTATTTGGTGAGTGCAGAGCTGTGTGGCATCTTAGCTCTAGATTTTTATATACAGAATTGCTGGACAGAGCAAAAATCAGGACAGTTTGCTTTTTTTATTGAAAAAAAGAAAAAGAAAACAAAGATTCCTAATTAGTTTAGGATTTTTCCAAATTTCTCTCTTAAAAGCAAAATAATCTGCACACCCAAATTAAAAACCCCAACCCAAACAAACAAAAACTCAGAGGAAAATTATTTGAACTGCAAAAGACAAGCAGTTTATTCTTGAACAAATTTCTTAAAACTTTAGCTCTGGTTTTATTATGTTCTGATTTCTTAAGAAAAAGTCTTGATTTTTTTGAAAATAATCTCTTGAAACAAAGGTCTTAATGCATAAGCCACATTACTGTGGCTGGCCCCAGTCTTGCTCAGTATGTACATGTTCACTTATAAGCCAATTCAATTCTTTGCTTAAACATTTTTTTTATAATAGAGCAGTCCAGTAAGTCCTGTTCAGAAGAGAGATTTTTATTATTTTTTTAATAGTGTGCAACACTGGTGTGATTGAGTGCTTCAAACTGCATCATATTCCATAGTCTTTCCTTATCTCATAGGAGCATTCTTCCAATTTAAAAAAATGGGAAAAGAAAAACAAAATTTCAAGCAAAGGACACACATCTTATTTTGGAGGATGGAATATTATTCAACATTTTCTACTGCTAGAGCACAACTCCTAGCAGCTCATTCGTAACTTGAATGTTCAGCGTTGCCATATCAGGCTGTTGGCCTCCAGTGAAAATCTGTGTCCATTTTTCTGTCACATGTAAACTGACACTGTAAAGGCACATGTGGAGAAAACAATGTAGGCAACATCCAGATGTTGAGACTACCTTTTCCTCTCCAGCACTCTCCCATCTTATCTAACTTTCAGAGAAAACAGTTGAGATCTCACAATAAATGTGAGTCCACGCAGGCCTGTACAGGCTGTGTGGCCACTAAGAGCAGCAGCTTTGCACCCTCCAATCAACCCAGCTGCACATTCCCACTCCCACCTTTCAAACAGGCTGCTGGCATAGTCAAACCACAGCACTGATCAAATCCCACTTTTTTCTGAAATAGCATAGGCCTAACATGCAGCTTAGAAACTGAACTGCCAGTCACAGGTAAGGCCACGCAACCATGCACTCCTTGTCACACAAAGCCAGGGCACCATGCACCTCCTGTCAGGCAGCTCTGTCCAGCACCATCAGTGGCATTGCTTCCACCATGCAGACTGAGATTTGCCCACCAGAAATTATTCATATGTGTACAGAAGAGGGCCCCATGGAAACAGCAGATTGCACCTCATGAAATAATGGGCATTTCCTGACATCTGTAAGCTCATCTTTAGCACTGACTATATTCATTTCCTCAGGGTTGGGTTTTTATAAGCAGAAAGTTAAAACACTTTTAAGTCTCATCATGACACCTGCAGAACTCAGAAGCCTAATTTAATTGCACACCTATGGTGTGAACTTTTGACAGCATCTAAAGGAGCTCCTAAAGTTATATTATAACCAGAAGGAGTAATTACAGGGGATGGGATAGATACTTTGATGAAAGAAGGTGTTCAGGAATATCAGGTTTCATTATAAATGGAGCAGGAACAAGTCCACTGAGGGTGGATTCTTCTGCTAATTTTTAGTTTGATTTTCAACACTTCCTATTCCTTTTGGTCTCCTTTCTTCACAACAGCATTATCTCCAAATTCCTTTCTCAATTTCCATGCTTCCAGTCTTTCATCCCAATTCAGATGCCTTCACCTTCTCCCTCCCCAGCTCCTCCCAATTGCATTCCTGCCTCTCCCCCAGCATATATGAATTGCTAAGCCTTCCCATTGTTTTCCTGTAAAGACAAGCAAGCTCCTCACTATGACATCTTGCTCAGCAGAGTTCTCTCTTTGCAATGCTCCCATGGGTCTCCCAACCCGAAACCCAGCTGTTCAGCCAGCACTAGTCTCATCCACCTACACATCTATTTACTTCTCTTCTTCCTCTCCACATTTCCTAGGAAAAAAAAATAATTTCCAGCATTACTTTTATGTAGTTCCAGTTCTTGCCCTCTGGTACTAAATGCACAGTTTTTTTCCCAGTACCTAGACCAAGCATCCAGTCAAGATATCTAAACTAAATAAAAAATGTTATTTTAAATTGTTCAAGTCTTGTTAAAATTCCCAGTTATAAGGGGGTTTGTTGTTTTTCAAGGAAATGTTTATTTACTTAATTTTGGTACTGCTTTAAGAAATATTTGAGTTATTTTTTGGTCTATATACCTAAAAATGGCCACACAACTCATGCTGCACAATCTTCAACTTACTTTGTAAAATAACAGTTTTGAGACCTATGTGTAAAGTGAGGCAGGTTAAGCATGTCACATCAGAGCTTCTGAATTTTGACATCCATTCCAATACAATTCATAGCCACAGCATATTCAAATATTACAATGTGTCAAGTGCTTTACAACACATCCTATTTTCACTCCCCTGTGCCATAGGAGGGCAAAACCAACATGAACACTGCTCAGCTATACTGGGCATTAGAATCAAGTTCTCCTTAACCCTATAAACCATTAGGGCAAATATTTAAGGCATTCCTAATTAAGCTCCTGTTTTTCTATAGTGTAATTTAAAAAATTATGTGTCTTCCTCACTAGCCTGCGCTGCTGTAATGACACAAACTCTTGAGAATTTCAAAGTTTTTACTGAAAAGAAACATTTTCAAGAAGTTTGTGCGTTTCCACCTGAAAAGAACTATTTATTTCACCTTCATGATATCTACCAATCCTTATTCTGAAGTATTAAAAGCTTTGCATCAACCACCTCATAACTACACACTATTCACCTCCATTTAAATCTGTCTTCAAATCAATTACAGCTTATATTGGATAGGTCAAAGATTAATACTTAGAGCACTCATAATTAACACCTGTTACATTCTACTCATGCCACAACAAGTTCCTACAACATTTAGGAAATTTAAATTAGTCAAATTCAATTTCTAGTAAGTTAAACAACTGTGAAGAGAAAAAAGCCCTTCATTACTTTTTAATGTCAAATACTGCCTAGAACCTGGAGTGATCAAGACTCACTGCCCTAAAAGCTGCATAAACTTGAGGGGAAATTGTTAGAACCTTGGACTAAAGAGGTAAATCTGCATGCAAAGTTCTTCAGGTTGTTAACTTCTACAAGGGAAGTGGTACAAAGTGACCATTTTGGAGGACAGTGCAATGTAAAGCATATCTCCCCGTCCCCTGCAGAAGCTTTGCCCCCACTCTCTGGTAATGATAACCTCGCAGTTAAGCGCCACCTAAGCTTTTGCAAATTCAGTCTGACTTCAGACACAATGCCCACTGCCCGCCATGTGCCGTTTGAGGTCATCCTTTCCTAATTTAGCCTGTAACACTCCTTTGCAACCAGACAGCCTATGTCCTTTGGTCCTAAAAGGTGCATGAGCCTGAACACAGTGCTACCACTTTCTTTTCATTTCCGCAGTAATTCAACACACAGC